ATTCGCTCTTGTGCAACTTCAACCATGCACTGCTGCCATCGCTCAGCTTCTCGATGTTCAACAAATGGCTTACGCACTCCACTGCAAACGGCCAAAAACATGGTGGTAGTCCGGCTTCTAGTAGGCATGTCGATGTGGTAAGCATCATGAACTGATTGTTTCTTTCGGCGAGTGAATTGTTCTGGGGATGTCCTGGAAGCGACTGGTCTAGTGGTATCCGGAGTTCCTTGAGTGCTGCTTCAAATTGTGGCGCGTCATCCGAGTAAGCGTTGGTGACCTTTCTCTTACCGATATAGTGCTTCATCGCCTGCACCACTTCGTCACTATTGCTTGCTTTCAAAGGATACCCCCATATCACACCAGTGAACCGATCTCGAATCACCAATACATCCTTATCCGGCATGATCCCATCTCTCGCCATCTTCTGAGTGTTCATGAGATCGAAAGTAATAAGGTCACCGAATGCTTTCAATTTCCGTTTGAAAGCTCCCTCGCTAGTCTTGTAGTGCTTCATCTTTGCTCTCACACATGACTTGCAGTATGGGTTCTTGTATCGGTGCGTCATCAAGTGCAATATGGATTTCGCCTCGTTCTTCAGCACTCCTGGTTTTGATAGTCTGGCTTCCCCGTCAACCACATCGACTTCCAATAGTCCCTCTTCATCTTCACCAATGTCACTCTCCTCTCGTTCAGAATCCGCATCACCTCCATGTTCGTCGTCTCCGGCTTCTTCAGGTTGACCATCGTGATCACGATCGAATCTCGGGTCTTCCCCGTCATATTCCTCTTCAGGAGAATACCTGTCATCACCGTGTTCCTCTGGTTCTCCTTCGGCGCCTGCAACAGCTGGATTGATATCAGATTCACCATTCCGATCTCTCTGGTTATCTTTCTTCTTTCTCCTCCGTCTCCGTGGTTTCTTGGGCGGAAGTTCCTCTTGTTGTGTCTCCTGACCTGCTGTGGCCTCGTCTTCATGCCCCACACCTGACAGTATGCGATGAAGTACCGTGGCCAAGCTGTCTGGTCTTGGTAAACATCTCCCATCATCATCATTCACCTTGATGTAGGGTATGTTGTCATGCACCGATAGCGGAATCTTGTTCGCGTTCTGGTCGATGAGGTATGGCAATTGGTTTGCCGGCCATATGAATGAGTACCCTTGTTCCATGCACCGTTTCCCGATGGAGAAGACTGATGGTGTGCTCTCCAACACGTGTGCCTCGGACATCATGGGCAGTTCGTCCACATTGATGTCCACCATCTCTGATGTACTGGTTACACCATTCGCCGTCATGAAGTTCACGGATTTGGGTCCTTCCTTGGTGGTAAGGCCCATGGCATTGACTTTCTCTCTTGAGATCAAGTCGTGTCCACATCCCGTGTCCATGATGAAGCGTATCGGTGGTCCATCATACCTCTCCACCGCCATGAACATCGTGTCTCCCGGTATCGTGTAGTTGACAGAATCCTTCCTTACTACCTCGCTGGTGTTGAAGTCAGACAGGTCGACGTTCACCTCGATTCCTTCATCTTGAGTGATTTGTATCCATGCCTTGGCAATGTGTTCAGCAGAAAATAGCTCCATCATCTTACCTTTGGCATGTGCTACTCGCGCAGCTATATTGTTCACTCTGAGGGCTCTCAACGATGAAATGAGCTCGGTATCCACCTTCTGTACCTCACTCTTCTTCTTCCTGAGGGGACGGGTGTTTAGCTCGTTACCAGGATCGCAGGGGAACGTGGTCACATTCGCCTGGTCATCGAATCTGACTTTAAAGCGAAGCGCCAACTCTCCTCGTCGTACGTTGGGAAGTGCAGGTTGTATGTCCTCGTCATCACTCTCGATGTCTCCGCAAAGCGTGAAGGCTGGCGCAGCCGGTTTGGGCTTGGCTTTGCCTTTAGCCTCTTGTTTCGTAGCAGGAGCAGCGTGATGTTGACGTCGACATTTGTCCCCGAACTTGCACGATCCTTTCTGCCAATTCCAACAGACCTGATCCTTCATTGGCTTAGGGCTAGTGCTCCTGCCACCAGGACTCTTTGATCTGTCACCCTTGAGGCTTTCTGGTTTCTTAGCAGAACTTTTGTGCTTCTCTTGGTGACTAAACTTGCATTTGTCTCCTCTAGAACATCCGTTTTTCCCATGGAAGTGGAAGGCGCATCCTATCTTGGACGTATCTGCTGGAGTCGCTGACCTGCCACGATCCCCCTTTGGGCTCTTCGTGGTTGATCTTCCACGATCCTGCTTCTTGTCCTTCTTGTTGTGGTCCTTCGGATTAGCCTGAGGAAGCACTGGAGCGGCGTCCTTCGGTGGATCGGCCTTGGTATTCTTGGGTTTCGCCTTAGGGTCCTTCTTCTCCGCCGCTGGTGTGGCTTTCACGAAGTTCCCAAAGGCTTTTTCCCTTTCCTTCTTGTTCGTGGTCTCGATTGATTTCCGTATCCACTTCGCCATGATCTCTCGTAACTTCTGGTAGGTCTTATCCGGATCCTTATCCAACATGTTGTCGTATACGGACAAGTCTAACGCCATGACTTTGGAATCCTTAATCTTATCCCAAAGCAGGTTGCGGAGTGCTTTGTCAGGAAGCATGTCATCCGCATCCATACCTGATAAGATCTCATCCCACTGTCCAAGGAATCTGGATAGTTGATTATCCCCAGGGAACTTTAGATCGAATAAGTGCTTGGACGCATACATCACATCAACGTTGTCGGCACTCCGGAAGCTGTCGACGATCAACGCTAACACCTCTCGTCCTTTGACCATTCCAGGAGTTGTGCCTCTCGCACGTCTCTGCATCATCTGTCTCACCTTCAATTGTACATCATGAGATCTCTCACCTGCTGCGTGGATGATCGTGTGTAGGGTGATACCTAGCTTAGCGTCTATGCTAGCGAATCTTGCTTCGCCTGATGTCTCGAGTAGAAATGGGTCATATGGTGATCTGAAGGCATCCGAGAGCCACTGGATCCAGTCTTCCTGTCTTTCGTCGCCCGATGCCGTCACGACTGCCGCTACAACCTGGGATTTCCAAACCTCCAAGTCGTGTATCTTGGGCCAAGCAGGGATGTTGATCTTCTCGTGTTCCTTCCGAGATATTTTGGAGCCACCCGAGCTAGAGGATGAAGCGGCACCATGTTCGGCTGCGGCTGCATTCTCTGCATTCAAGCGCTCCTCTTCGTACCTCCTCCGGTACTTATTCCTCTCATCTCTGAGCCGTGCTGCGTGCGCTTCGTATTCCATCATGTCCTGTTGGTTCTGCATCATACCTTCGTAGTACTCCATTGCCTCCTTCTCCTCGGACCTTAATGACTTCTCGGTACGTCCAAGTTCCGCTCTAAGCTTGGTCATCACCTCATTCTCCACATTGGGTTCTGATCCCATGTCTGATGGTTTCAACGTCAGTGCGACCTTCAATTGTGCTTCACTTGCGCTTGATTCGATTAATTCTTCCTGAAGACGATTCAGCATCCTCTCTTTACGTAAAATGTCTTCTTCCAACATGTTCATCTTGACTTCAGCTTTCTTGAGTTCGACGTTAGATGGTTGAGACAGTCGATCGGATCCTTGAATCCTCGCCTGCGTCAACTCCTCGTTCGCCCTCTTCAATTGCTCCCTGATGGTCATGATGAAATTGTCCTGATTACAAGATCGGTTGCTGAGCTCCTCATTCTCTTCTGATAACCATTTGATCTTGCTTGCATACATTGCTTCCTTCATCTTCATCTCCTCAGCATATTCGTGTTTGTTCCTGGCACTCTGCCTTTGTAGTCCCACTAACTCCTGTCTATACAGATCCCTAATGTTCTCAGCATCTGCGACTGCAGTCATGACCTCGGTTACGGCTCGATCTCTTTGCGCCGATATAGCCTGGATCTCCTCCGTGCCGATGTTCACAACTTGGCTAACCATCTCTGCGCTGTTGCGATCAGCGTGCTCCCCTAATTGGGTGAGACGATCCCGCATCGCCACACGATCAGTGTCAATCTGGTATTGCAAATCGTGTGCTGCCGAGAGCAAACAGTCTCTGGACTCTGTAAGTTGGGAGATTCTTCGTTGATTCCCATATCCTTCGACATAACATTCCTCGAGGTGTGCCATCACTACTTCGTGGACTTCGGTCTCGTGTTGTATAATCTGGTTCTGTCTCTGCTCACATTCGACCATCCATGCGTTTTGGTGGTTCAACATATGCACTTCGGCAAGTAGTTGCGCACACTTCGCATTCAGGTCTCCATCGGCCCGTGCTAGTTGTAGGTTGTCGGTGCTTGCCCTTGCTCCATCTCCAGCTTCGCTGTCCGACGGCACTGGTACAGTTGACCCATCCTCCAATGCTAGCACTCTCACAGCTCCGGTGTCAGTCCTCCTCCTCGTCTCCCTAGGGCTACGGCCTGATCTTGGTGTCCCTCCCGGTGGTGTCGAATGCGCTGACGGGGAACGACTTCGTGCTCTACCTGTCGCACCTTCTCTCACCACTGTCAGGGTCTCTGCCTCGATCGTACCCGGACTAGAGTTGTGGGATGCACTCATCCGATCTGCGGCCGCAGCAGCTGCTCCAAAGGATGCAGTGCTGGCGTCGGATTGTTCCATCCTCAGTGACTGAGGGTGACCGATCTATCCGATGCGTGTGCGTTTAGATGGTGTTGTGTAAGGCCGCAGCTCGTATCCAGCTCAAGAGAGTCTGGATACGGCTGATAACCTGCGAACGGATGAAAAGGTGTGCCCTGGCCCCGTTCTAGCCCTTAGTTCAACATGAAGCTCGCGCGCTAAAGCTCCTTTTTACCTGGTTGGGCACTTGAGCCAAAAGTATATGGCATGTACCTATATAGCAACTATACTGGGACCTCATCCCTATTGACATTTATCCCAGTGTGTATTTAAAAGTTCATGAGTTCGGCCAAAACTGATGCCGCCTGAATTATGCCAGCTTCGTTGGACGTCAATAAATAAACCTTGGATTCGTAACAAAACGGTTCTTCAGAAGCATATATTATACACACCGTTTTCTACTTTGTGAGTAGCACGCTTCTTTGAGCGCCAGCCCCTATGGCCAGGTCAACATTCGATGTGCTTTCTGGGCTTTGAGGCACTGCTGGCACTCTGCACATCTTTGCACTAAAAGTGGACAAGGTGTCCCAAATGGTGTCTCTGTCCAACCTCTGTTCATTCTATTTCATCCTTTCTTTGTTCTTTTCTACCAATTAAAAGCCTCTGCAAAACACGGTGAAGCGTCAGCGACTCAAAGGCTAATCATTGTATTTGAAGAGGGATGCTCTCGAACAGCTCCTCGGTTCAGTTAGGAGCCAGAGCACACAGCCACACCCATGAGGGGGAGCGTAGAGTTGTAGGTTTGAACAGGAAGGACGTCGGTTCTATCGGCGAAATATGTGCCTTCAGTAGCGTTCAGTTTGAGCAACATGCTCAGGCTGAAGCTTAGTCTGCGGTCTCAACAACATGTATTATGTATTGTACGTGGTGAGTGTTTCACGAATCTATTGGTTTAGAAGTTTAGATGCCAGAATGAAATCTTGTGCATCTCAGCAGCTGATACTCAAGTAGTTCAAGAGTTCACTGTCGCCCCAAGAGGTCTTGGCAACCACTGACCTTGCAAGCTGAGAGATCAAGGCTTGCCAAACCTCAACGCTCGCGTTCTTTCACGCACGTCGATGTGTTGTGCCAAGGTGCTCCAACCCATCAACTTGCAACTGCTGGGTGAGCTTGTATTGTTCGCCTCACTGTGGCGGCTTATGAACATTTATTTTTACTTGAAGTCTAAAGGGGACTGTCAAGTTAAGTCAACATGACAATGACATCATGTGAATGAGTGTGGAGTGGCAATCGAGGGACAATATGCATCATTTTTCTTCAGAATAGCCTCTGCCTCTCCATCTGCCTGCAGTCAACGCAACTCGAGTCTTTGGATACAGAAGATTGGTTTGTCACCTCGTTCTGAAGCTTCTGGACTGCCTGCAGCATCACACCAGTTTGCGGGTCACAACTTGTGCTGGAAGTGCTTGATATTCTCTGCGCAGTGTCTGTTGATTGGCTGGATGTTTTGGGGTTTGCTGTGTTTGTTTGGCCTATGCAATTGACAGGTTCAATTGAACAAAATCGGCCACAAACGGCCTGCTTGGCTTTCAGAACCTCCGTTGCGAAAGTGACCTGAAGCAACGATCCGTTGCTTCAATCCCCACTACTGTTCGGGTTCGAGTCAATTCCAAAGAAATTCTGAAGAGCGAGTGTCAGTTGCGGGAATTTGGCATTGCAAACACAAGGCCCTTTGAAACCGAATGGTAGCTATTGTGTTGACATCGTGTTTACACCTGCGGTGTTGCGATTCTATGTGAAGCTACTCAAACACATGCTCTTCATACTCTTTTCGTCTGTGATCAAACTTGGCCTTCTTTGTCTCCTGCTCCAATCGTGCGATTTGAATGTGTTGTTCTTGTACCTTAAAAGCCATACGGATACACTTGAGAGACATGCGTGAGGGACTTCACAATGCGTGTATCATCTGTATCCTGAAATTTGAATTAAAACTATCTCCGCCTGCGTCTCCCGGATGGCATCCTCGAAGGCATCAGGCAAGTGGACTGTCCGCAGCTGGAAGAAAGGTACCTGAAGATTGACTCACAAGAATTCAGCGGATTTCTTGTTTGCCTGACAAGAAACCCTTTTGCAAAGCCGGATGTGCTTCTAGTCATGCAAATGAGCAAAGCACTTCCCGCCTCGGCAAAGGCATGTTGACGAAAATGCCCCTTGGAATGCTACGTTTCCAAGAAAAGAACTACAACCAAATCAATCATGCGAGGGTTCTTCACGGAAGCTCTCCCCGCCCTCAGGCGGGGGGGGAGCTTAATTGAAGAAGCTTGAACAGTTACTTGAGCCACTACTCACCTCTTACTACTAGGTACTTCAGCTAACTACGGCCTACACCCCCCACACCAGAAACAAACTCTTTGAAAATTTAAGTAACATCCTTCAACCAACATTGAAATCCAAGATTCGTCCAGCTTGCGATGCATCTCCATGCTGACAAATGTCCGGTTCCTGCCCAAGGTGGAAATGCCTATTTAAAAAAATATCCAAAGCAACATGTTGAACGCATGTCAGCCCGTTTTATTGTTGTTTGCTGATATGTCTTTTGAACATTCTAGATCCGTCTTGAGGAACAAACTTGCATGGTGCGTGGTGGCAATTGCCTGAAGAAGAAATGGGCATTGTGGTGCGTGGTGGAAGTGGAGAGTTGCTCAATTGCCATCCGCACGAAGGTTTTCTCATAGTCTTCACCCAAGGTAGACCACCTCAGCACGCTTCGCATTTCATCTCATAAATTCCCAGGAGTCTCAAAAGTACATGGCAGGGTGTAAAGCTGGTCGAACTTCAGCTGGTACTGAAATGAGACCTCCTGAGCTGACGAAGCGGCAAACGAAAGGGATGACAGACTCCGCGCTGTACCATCTCACCAAGCCGTAACATCAAATCGTACCAGTACAACCCTCAAGCTACGAATCTGCTTTCTTGCTGTTTAATTCTCTCTATATGTATACTATTTCTTACCTAAGTTCCACCATTTTAGGTGGTTTAGGTTGCGCTTAGCTACGGTCGAAGTCCGAGCGACTAGGTGAACCGTCAAACCGTCTTTGGTCCGGCTTTGCAGCGCAGGACCTTGCCGGCCTTCCGTCCAATCCTCGATAAAGGAGATGGACTTCACCTCATCTCGCCGAGCCCCGACCAAACTTCGAAGAGTCTCTGCTTCAAAGTGACAGTCCGTGGAAATTTGATAAAGCTATTGGCGATGCCCAAGTAGTATCCTTAGCCATCTCCACAACACAACGGCCACAGAGTCAAGCACCCACACTTGATTGACAGGTTGTTTGAATTGCAAACTACCAATTTCTTTGAGCCACTGCCGGCACTGTAGGGCTCCTGGCACTGAAATGGAGTGGAAAGCGATTCCTGATTGGTGTGCACCTACGTGAACTGAAAGTTTGTAGAGCAAATCAAGTCAGCAACTAAGACGACCATTGGGTTTGTACTCTATTATGCTGTATGCTTCTTCATGGGCTATTGAAACTGGGATCCGTATGCCTTCTCCACACTCTCACTAAGATAATTGCAGTTGAGGCCAAACTCTTGGTACCTTGGGGCACAATGCGGAAGGCTGGTTGGCACGGTTGGACAAATCGCTTCAAGCGAAGCGTTTTCGCCATGCGGCTCTAAGGAGTCGAAGCTCAGGAGGAACAACAGAGTCATCGTGAGTATCGTTACAAGGACCACAGAGATGAGCCATGGCTGCATAGCGCTGGTGCAAATCGGAAGAAAGAAAGATTGTTGAAGAAAGCAAGAACAAAAGAAGGGTCTATCCTTTCTCTTCCTTCTGTGTTTCGGATGATGTTGAAGTGGCTTCCAGTGCTTCCAGTGTCTCTTCAGAATCTGCCTCTTCGGCGCCCTTTGGAACGCCGCCGATGAGCTGAGATGAGTCGGATTGACGTCTAATTATGGATGAAAATGCCGCAGCAAGATGCAATAGAACACGCAATTGGTCTGCAATCTGTTGCAATTGGTCAGCTGCTTGGAGAAGCAATCCTGTTAAGTTTCCAGCAGCTTGCTCCTTCATTCGCCAAGATGTTCATGAAAGACTTTGCGAGGGGTTAGTAGCCCTTTGACACAGCACGTTCCGTGTTGTGTCAAGCTCCAATGACATCCAGGCAGCATTGGCCAGCTGAAACTGCCAGTACTTCGACAGGGCAATGCCTTTGGCTCGAGTCTGAGTCAGCAATGATCCTGATGACCTTCCCTGGGATTCTGCCAAAGCATGTCCACTGCGTTCACTGCCAAAGCTGTGTCAGGGGTCTCAAACAACCCCAACAAATGGCAGGGTCGCCCAAAGTCGAAAGGTGAGAATCTGTAATGCAAGCGAACATTTTGGACATCTAAATGAGCAAAATTGTTCATGTAACGTTCATTACGCATAGTGTAAGTCTTTACCTGGGCGACTCTGCCAACTTGGCAAAGTTTGAGTAGTGGGTCAAGGAGCCATGAATTTTTCTCGGCAACTAGACCAATCAAGACTCGAGGCAAGACAGTAATCCTCGATTTCAGGTGACAATCAAACCTTCTGCTGACCAGTTTTCCTTGGCAAATGGCTGACAAATGGCTGACAAGTGCTGCGTCCGGCTCAAGACAAATGTCCGTCCGGCTCGTTTGATCCGGGTTAAGCCAAGCCACTGGCGCCTGGTCGAGTCTTGGCGATCAAGTGATAACAGCCTTGAAGGCCTAAGAGCAATAAGAAAACACTAAGAGCGGCCTCCACCATCCACTCATCCCAAGAACTTGTGAAGTGGAGACCCTGGGCATTCTGGGCATCTTGCAGCTTTAAACTCCTTGTAGGTGATCTGATAGTCCCTCGTTTCAGCCGCCTCAGACACAGGAACTGCAAAAAAAACAAAACATTGGCAACGTTCAGCTAAGGTCGTATAATTGGTGCCATATTGGCTAGGCATGGCATGGCATGGCTGCACACGAATGGAAGATCATCTGCGTCCTCCAAAACAAGCTTTCACCAGGCTTGTCGCTGTGCTACTTGCACCAAGTCCGCTGCATTGGGGTCATAGATGAGGCGTCTCTCTTTCACGTACTTCTCTTTGTTGCCACACTGAGTTGGAACGGCGCAGCACAATTGACAGCATATTAAAATGCTGGATGCAAGTGAATATTCAGATTATTCAGGTAGTTGGCTACGCACTTAATGCATCCTGGTGTCATAGTAGACTTTCTCATGAGAAAGCCAGCAAGAGATGTCTCCTCCGACGAAATCTGGCGAGAGTCACTCCTTATGCTTTCCCAACATATTCTTTATGCTTTGGCTATCTTGGTTCCCATGGTTTCTCCATCAGCTTGGGAAATCAAAGTCCGGATGTTTGTTCATGCGCCCTGCTTGATCGGGCGTTACATTTGCTTTGTACTATGCTGCAGTGTAGCACACGACTAAGGCTTGGCAAAGTGCAGTGCATGCATTTGATACCGGGTTCCCAGCATGGTTCAGCAAATTGATTCAGAAACTGTTAGAAAATGCCAGAACATCTACGATCAAGAAACCATTGAGCCATTTTTCCAAACATAAAGTACAGTATGCACAGCCTGAACACTTGCAAAAATTGCATTTGCTCCACTGTCCTTTGGGGAATCCGTCCAGGAACTCTGGAATCTCAACCTGTAGGGGCAATTAAATGGACTCGTAGACTCATCAAAACTGAACTAGCAACATCCCTCAGCCGAGACAATAGAGTCTGAAAAGCTGAGACCTAGCGATGGCCTCCTAGTAGCGATGGCCTCCAACCTGACAGCAATGGCCTCCAACCTAGTAGCAATGTTTTCCAACCTAGTGGCGATGGCCTCCAACGGTTGACGATGTTTCAAAGGAATTTGTTTCGCGCTCTTTTTGGGATCTTTTTCTGGTAGCGCTTTCACATAGTGCTTCCGTGGCAGGCATAGCATTTTGAGTACCTTCAGTAGCTCATTTTGTGGCAGGAAGCATTTCGGAACCTCGAAGTGCAGATTTCGTGGTAGGTGCAGCACTTCGTGAACCTTCAAGTGCAGACCTCGTGGCAGGCGCACTTTGTGAACCTGGAAGCGCACCACTTCGTGGCAGGTGCAGCACTTTGTGAACCTAGAAACCTGTTTTGTGGTAGGCGCATCACTGTTTTGAACCTCAAATTTCAAAGTGCAGATTACACTTCAGAGCTCACGCGTGAAAGAATGAAACAATGCGAGGATCACAGCTGGAGCAAGGAAGCTAGGGGCAAGGACAAAGCGTGCCTTTTTTCGCGTCGGCTGGTTCACATCACTTTGGATAGGTGGTTCGATAAGTCAAACGATCTTGTGCCAACGACACATGCAGCATGACGTTGCCCAACAGCTAGCCAGCTGTCTGAAGCTAGTGATCAATATGAAAACCTCCCTCCGAAAGGATTCCAATAACACAATGTCTCATGGTCGTCTGTGAGTTGCAATCATCTAGATAAAATCAATACCTTCTTACATCTGGCAGCTGTGCAAACAAAGCCACGAAAAGCCAAAGCCACCACAAGCCGCCAAAAGCCAAAAGTCAACACCTGCGAAACGCCAGAAGCCGCCAAAAGCCAAAAGCCACCAAAAGCCAAAGCCACCAAAAGCCAACACCCGCCAAAAGCCAGAAGCCGCCAAAAGCCAAAAGCCACCAAAAGCCAAAAGCCGCCAAAAGCCAAAAGCCAACAGTCGCCAAAAGCCCAAAGCCAACAGTCGCCAAAAGCCCAAAGCCACCAAAAGCCCAAGCTAACAGAAGGCTATCAAACCACCAACGGTGAAAAATATTCACAAAAGGAACGCGAAAAAACATCCTAAAAAATATGGGTTCCCCTCCAACCTAGTAGCGATGGCCTCCAACCTAATAGCGATGGCCTCCAACCTAGTAGAGATGGCCTCCAACCTAGTAGCGATGGCCTCCAACCTAATAGTAATAGTGATGGCCTCCAACCCAGTCGCAATGGCCTCCAACCTACTAGCGGTGGCCTTGATGGCCTCCAACCTAGTAGCGATGGCCTCCAACCTAGTAGCGATGGCCTCCAACATAATAGTGATGGCCTCCAACCTAATAGAGATGGCCTCCAACCTAATAGAGATGGCCTCCAACCCAATAGCAATGGCCTCCAACCTAGTAGCGATGGCCTCCAACCTAATAGAGATGGGCTCCAATCTACTAGAGATGGCCTCCAACCTAGTAGCGATGGTCTCCAACCTAGTAGCGATGGCCTCCAACCTAGTAGCGATGGCCTCCAACCCAGTAGCGATGGCCTCCAACGTAGTAGCGATGGCCTCCAACCTAATAGTGATGGCCTCCAACCTAATAGTGATGGCCTCCAACCTAATAGAGATGGCTTCCAACCTAATAGAGATGGCCTCCAACCCAGTAGCGATGGCCTCCAACCTAATAGAGATGGGCTCCAATCTACTAGAGATGTCCATCCCGCAACCGAGACAATACAGTCTGAAAAGCTGAGACCGCCAAGCTACACTTGGATCCTCTGCTTGTTTCCTTGGGAACAAATGCAGCGCAAGGGTGTCAGTCCGTCCAGATCTTAGATCTAGTGAATGAATTTGAACATCAAGTTGAAAAACAAATAAATAAAGCAATTCTCAAAAGAGGTAACCAAGAAAGAAAATAATTGTCTTTCTCGTCTTCGCCAAGATTCGCCTTTGCTTCTGCAATAAGCTCCTCCTGCTCCTCACAACACACCCATGTCTATGCCCATTGTTGCATTAGGATGCTACTACTCTGAAGCATCGTCTTTACACCACTGCGAACAGTGATACCAAGTGGACAGCTTCCGATACTGTACTGAAGGGTACAGCAGGTAGGTGTAGAGACCTGTTGAATGACTTGCTTTTTAATGGTATTCTTTAGTTAAGTTTGAGAGGGGAGCGCTGTGAGCGTGTGTATTTTTCAGTAAAGATAGCTATTTTTAGACAACAGCAAGGAAGCCTCTGGATTAAAACTGTTTGAAAGTAAAATAGTGATTTTATGAAACCATATAAATCCAACAAACTTGAGCTCAGAATCTTATGAATTTTCTGAATTCATAAAAGTATAAACTATATTGCCTTTTAGTTTAGAAGGGAATGCACTAAACTCATTATGAAATTTATGAACTCATTATGTTTCTTTTTATGCGTTCATTAATTTTCTGAAGTTCTCTGAGTTCAGAAATATGCATAACTGCCTGAACTCATACACAAATATAAACAATAGTTGATTACAAGAACAATACAATGATTCTTATGAATGCATACATGTTTATGAACAAAAAAGAAAAACATGTATTGCTGATCAAAAGGCATCGTCTTTATTTCAATAGAACTACTCAATTTATGATGTTATATTAGATTTCTCCACTGCACATATAAAGAAACAACATGTTGCATATATGAAGCCTTTTAGCTTGTAATATCCTGCTGTTTAAGAGAGTATAGGTTCATAATTTAATGTATTCATAATGTTATGTTTTTGGAAATCAGAAAAGTGATTTCATAATTGCATGAACTTTTTGGGATGTCATTTTGGTGTCCTTTTTAGTTTTTTAGTTCCACACCAAACTATACAAAAAGAACACACAACATGAACTCACTTTAGATAGTGTATTATAATTGAACGCTTGCCAATAAGAATGAAGGCAAGTGTATTATAAGTGAATGCTTGTCAATAACAATGAAGGCAAGACCGGCTAAATGATGATAGAATTGGTTCACTGCCACTAGCAATATACAAAAACGACCAAAAACGGTTAAGAAACAGGAATTCAAATCAAGA